GCTCGGCGCACCACATGGCTTTGAAGTTGTCCTATGCCTTTGCAAACAATCATACCATGCTGCTCCGGCACAATGACTGGAGTGGCTTCTTCCTGCCACTTTCTAGCTGCTCGCAAAGACACACCGATGCGCAGTCAAACATCGAATTTATAGAAAACGAACTTCCAGGCAGTGGCAGGAGATAAAATGCACCAGCTATGCCGCGGCAGTGGTCATAGAGATTGGGTGAAACACTGGCAGATCCCTTGCCATGGTACAGTGGTCACCTGTTAAGCTACATTCTCCGGCCAGGTAGTTCGGCCTTGCGATATGCCCTACAAGGGGAGATGCAGAATATGTGGAGAGGAATGGATGGCAAGGCCTATGACGGACCAATCGCCGCCATACACATTAGACGGTCAGATAAAATCATGCCTGAAGCAAAGTCTCATGCTGTGGCCGAGTATATGTTCAACGTGGAGCGTTTCTTTGATATGAAGGAGGCGGAATGTAGTTTGGAAACGGGCAGTGCCAAACCATAGGCCTGGTCTCGACAAAGACGCCTCTTCTTGGCTTCCGATGATGCGTCGTCTTTCCGCGAGGCCCAATCCCAGTATCCCAGGAATGAATTTATTGGCCGACAGAGAAAGGGCAGTCAGGTAGACGATCGTAGGTCTACCGAGGGTGTGTTTGCCATCACTTTGGACCTGCATCTTTTGAGTTCAGCCGATTTTCTCATCGGTACCGGCAGTTCTAACATTTGCAGACTGGCCTATGTGCTGGCCTCGTTAAAGTCTCAAATTCAGGGTGATGCGGCTTTCCAATGGCAGTCGGTGGATGAGATGAATGAGTGCAGTTTTTCACGGAAACGATGGTGGCGAGCCATTGCAGACTTCAAGCAGGAGGCTGTCAAGCTGGGTGATCATGTGAGCATACTGTCAACACAATGGGTCGGATTTGTGCAGACTGCTTGGTCATTGTACAGATACTGTGATACTGTCCTACCGGCTTAACTATTTCAAGAGATTGTTCAAACCTTCAGGTGATTGCTTTTTGCTGTTCAATCTTTAGTCAACCTGCACTTCTACTCAGTAGGATGTGAGACCTGATGCACAGTGATTTGTTACTTTGGCCTTGAGTTCACCGATATGTTGTGAGAGGGGGGACACTGCCCCTCAAGCGTAGCTCTAATTTCCTTACCAATGCTTTGTAATGGAATGGAGATGAGTGAGGTAACACAGAAACTAAACACGATCTCATAACGTCAACTCTTAACATTATGCCTGTCTTAATTCCCCAGCTACAGTGTTAACCTTCTGATCTGAGTCTCTCCGAGACGTCAGTATTAATCGAAACCTGTTACGGTTCTCGGAACTTTCCCCCTTGCACTTGCTGCCTACTCTCATTTCGAAAATGTCAAAGCTTTATGCCTTCTGCAGGCTAGAAAGACCTGTAAAAAATGTTGAACCTTAACTACGTTTCGTGCCTTCGTGCTATCGCAGGGGGTTAAGTTAGTTAAACCCTAGCAACTGCGATCTTCAGACTATGGTTCCCTAGGTGAGGAGAAGTCGGTAGAGGCCAGATTAGTATGAATAGTTTACTGTGTACACAGATGAACGAAGAAAAAGCAG